CGTCGAGTCGGCCCTGACTCATAGCGACCCCTCCTTGGGTTTCCGAGGCAGTATCACTACGGAAGTAGGATTGCCCAACCTTCCTTCCGAGGAGTGGCCGGTAACAATAGACATAAATATTTGATATGTAGTAGACCTTCACAGCCATTATTATTCAGTCATTCACAGCTCACTCTTTCTTTGCAATTATTTTCATTATTCTTGATAATTTCTGATTCATACACTAGCAGCTTTAGCTCCCTTAATAATCAGCAGCTTAGGTATGGTTATGGTAGTAGCAATACCTTATTTATATTCAAGTTAATATATGGATGCCTATGTGAATTTATATGAATGGACTTTAAGAGTCATGGAAAAATCTCAGCAATTGCCAAATCTTAACCTGTTGTTGTTGTTGTTAGGTGCTGTCAGGTCGGTGCCAACTTATGGTGACCACATGTACAACAGAACAAAATATTGCCCCATCCTGTATCATCCTCACAACAATTGCTATGCTTGAGCTCAGTGTTGCCCTCACTATGTCAATCCATCTCATAGAGCATGAAACACTTTTCAGATGGGCAATAACTTCCATCTCGTTCATTGGTTTATGATAAGGCTTAGATACCACTTCCTTCTTGGAAATGGTTCTTTGCTCTCTCTTCTCCTCCAAATTTGTCACTATACTACCTCTCCTGCACATCTTCCAAATAAAATTAATCTCCTTCCTCTCTATGTGGTCTAACCACATTGTTCACATTTACTATTTTGTTTATGAAAACTTAAATGCTGTTGATTGTAAAAATGCATACAGATGTTAAAGATGTTATACTTTGAAAACATGTAGAATACATGAAACATAATACATTTTATCTAGTCTTCAAGGTCTTTGAAGGCAAGAACTATATTCACGGAACCTGACAAAACACCAGGAATTTTTTTGGGCATGAAGAAACAATTCTGGATTTTTTTCCCTATGGGTTGATTTAGATATCTAGGTTTTGAAGAGAGTGGAAAAATCATGACAACATTTGGAAGGATGAGGTTTAGTTGCTTCTAGGAATGAAAGAAGGATAAGAAAATTACACAGGGAAGGGAGGTGGTCATAACTGAAGACAAACATAACCAATACCCAGCTTTGATGAGGATTTTTCTTACTAAGAGCATGTTTACAGTCTTAACTTTGTAACTTCTTCAAAAATAGTTATTTCTGTACACCTTCAAGTAATTTGCTGGAACATTATATACCACAAATATGTGGGTTTAGATGGAAGAATTCCAATGCATCTAAACCCCAAATGCATGAAAGTGTGTGATCCTGCCAATTAATTCATTTTGTAAATAAATCCTTACAATGAATTGTAAGTAATTATAAGATAATTGTGTAAATTTTTAAGTGACAACATATTAATATGATATATATTTATTAGGAGCAAATTACTGTTCAGCTTTCTATAATACCAATGTTAATTATTAAAAAAAACTGTTTTAGAGTCTTGAGGAAAAAGAAAAACAAAAACAAATTTTCCCAACTCAAACCTAGGCAGAAAGTGAGAAATGTCAATAATGTCAATGTGTAATCCATTTACTCTACATATATGAAATTTTCCCTGATTAGTTGAACTTTTGTACAAGGTAAACTTAATTAAATCAGCATAGCTTGCTCAGTCCATACTTGTTCCCAGTAATAACTGGGCTACTGATATTGATACTTCTCACTACTCCTTGATTTCTCAAAAATTACTATTGCTTATTTATGATCAGTTTTGCTTTTTCTTTTAGTGCCCTAAGATATAATTATTGTTTCACTTATACATTTATATTATTTAAAGAAACTACCTTTTTTTTTTTTTTATTCCAGTTAAACTTGCCAAAATTTTGCCTACTAACCGAGTATCTTATTGGTATTTGAGATGCCCCTACAGCCAAACTTGGTGTAACTTCCTTATCATTAAGCATAACTCCTAAGTTTCAAGAAGGCTCCTCTCAAAGAAGATGCAAAAACATCTAGTGCACTAATGAGTTTTGTTTGATAA